TAGTAGTTGTAGCAGTAGCAGTAGTAGTAGCCATTGCAAAAGCAATAGTAATAGCAATAGCAATGTCAGTAGTAGTAATAGCTGCTACCGCTACTGCTGCTGCTGCTGCTGCTGCTGCTGCTGAGGCTGCTGCTGCTGCTGCTGCTGCTACTGCTACATGCTGCTGTTAGTGATGGAGGACCCCAGGGACCCCTGCGCAAACACCTCCAGCACCTGTACCACCACCAAGACGAGGACAACCCACCGCCGCTACGAAAGGCAGAAGCACAAGCTCAGAATGCCACAGGAAGAAACGTGCAGTTCGCATGATGCTCAACGCTCCCGGGTGGGTGCTCGTGTAATGCTTTCTCCGAGGCAGCTTCAGGACTGCTTCCGGTGGATCGAGTGCCGTCGAGATGGTGCCATGCACCACATCCTGCCACTTGTACTGCCAAGCATGCTTCGTTGGTTTGTGTTTTGCTTTCTAGGCTTGCGCCCCAAGCTGATTAAAGCAGTATCATGGTTCCATGATGTCTTGGACCCGATTTACTCTTGACATCTCGAGTGCGGGACACCCCGCAGCTTCATTCCCAAAGTATCGATACCCTTCATTTAGACCAGGAGCCGGAAGTTCAACCGAGGTTCCTCGACGCAGATGAGCTTGCTCAGATTCAGGAGGTAGGAGGTGCAGAGAGAACTGGCTGGTTATGGTCATTTGTTTTATTGGTGCAGTTGGAGTACAGGCCTGCCGGCCGGCACGGGTCAAGACCACCAAAGCAAATCATTTCGGACCTCCGGGGGCTTGCTGGACTCGCGGAAAGCCATCACTGTCATAGCAGAAGATGCTGATGGGGTGCTCATACCGCTACTCGTACTCGGAAAGAGCAGTGATCATGGCAATCAGCACAATCATCCGGTTGGCGACGTTAGATATCAGCTCATGCAATAGTGGCAATGATGACGCTTGTGAAGGTGGTGGTCATGATGATGGCGGCGAAAGCGGCGGTGGTCTGGTGATGATGGCGATAATGATGTCATTGTCATCGTCATCCTCATGGTCATCGGTGTCAATTCGTCGTCATGACCAGCACCAGCTCCACCACCAGTAGTAGCATGAGCATCATCATAGCAACTGGCGTCATGGTTGTTCATGTAACTGTAATTAGTAAATTAAACAATAAATAAAACCAGGGTCATAGCCGTCTACATCATTGTCATCACTGTCATTGTCACCAACTGCAGCAACATGCAAACAAGTTTAACGTACAAGCATGCCTGGAACCGAACCTTCAGATCAGCTGGATGCATCAGCACGCCATCTGCATGGTCCGGGGCTTCGACTACACAATGGAGAAGGCGCTTTCCGAGGGAGCTGGCTTGATCTCGAGACCTGAGGGTTTAAGCCCTGCTCTTGGACTCTGGGGTTTGGCTCGGCTGTAGTTGTAGTTTAGGCCACAGCGTTGCACAGACCAGGCTGTTCCACAAAGAGATCATTCGCGCAGTTGCATAAGCCTGCGAGGCTTTGGCATAGACTGCTGCGGCATTGCATTTGACATTTCAGGGAGCCAGAAATCATGTCAGTAGGTACTTTTCGGCATTGGACTTACTGCCACAAGCACAGGAGACTCATCAGGCACAGCACGCAACCCCATACACAACGTGAGGACCCGGATTGGTGCTCAAGCTCCAGCTACCCGAAGTCCGTTGACCTCAGGGATCTTGGTATGACGCTGGGCATTGCAATGTCTTGGAGGTTTAGGTTTTATGAATCTGAAAGTGATCTTCACAATGGGTAGTTCCAGGAGTTCATCATTGTGTAGGTCATGTTGTTTTAGCTTTGCGAAACCAATCCAGTTTCTTGTTTTGAGAAGCCTTTGTGCAAGGTTCGACAGTTTAGGGCTTGGGGGCATCAGAGTCCTCGGGGTCTTGGGGGCTTCATTCCAAACGTAACTCTCATATCTGTAGCTGTTATGATGATCATAGAGAAATATGGCACACAGGCAAGAACAAGTGAACCCCAACATCGCACGAAGAGGAATGCAACATCGCTGATAGCGCAAAAGGCTCTCCAACCGAGGCCAGGAGACTGGGGCATCATCGACGTGAAGCGCCATGCCGCCATCAAAGGCGGTGGAAAGATGTCCCTCAGCCCAGCCTGCAAGATACTCTTGGTAGGATGCTTCGAAAATTTTTGGGCGTGCGCTTCGGGAGCTTTGCTGTTGCTTCGATGGTCTCAGAGTCTATGTTGAAGGTTGGTGCGGATTTACGTACTCGGTGCTTTTCACGTCTTGGCGGCCCGGTTGGGGTCTGAGAGCCGTTTTGGGTGCACAAATGCAAAAGTTGTCGCATACGACAAAGCATACAGCACTCTCTTCAAGAAGCCAACCAGTTGCATCGGGAACTCTGGCAACAAGCACTGAACTCAATATCCTCCATCAGGAGCTTCCATCTCCGCAAGCCTCACGTCTTGGCAGATGATTGTACTAAAGCTATGAAGTCCTGCCCACTCTCCTTGCTGAAGGCAGCGGCTCACATGAACGACATTGGATCTACATCCTCCAGCTTCAATCCTATGCCCTAAGACGACCTCTTTCGCTCTCCCGGAAAAATTGCCAAAAGCATAGCTCAATAAGCTTTCAACTGCTACCCAAAGCCGCGATTTTCAATCCAAGCAAAGGCAAAAGCGCATGCTTGCCATGCTCTTCCTCTTTTCCCAGGCTGTGACCTGGTTGGCACATAAGGATTCTTCTGAGGTAAGACCAGGCCAGAAGCTGCGGATGCGGGCTTAAGGGCTTGGCTGACTATGAGTATGCGCGGATTAGAAGACTGGTCACGAGGACCTTGCGGGGAAAGCGCATCCCCGTTGAAATGATGGTGCTTTTAGCACGATGGCCGTCTGTAGTGATGCTGAAGTTATCCGCATCATCAGCGCTGTTGTCTAAACGACGCCAACAGTCACCGTCATCTTTGCATTTTCGAGCCAAGCCAGACCCGGACAAGACCCGGACATAAGCACAACGACATGAGGCGTTGTTGTACTAGTGGAACAACGAAAAGTGGTTGTTTCAATCGGGAGCTGTAGGTGGTTTGTGCATCCTTTTAAATTCTTCGACACTTCAGTGCAACATCGAAGGAAGTATGAACCAGCGGCAGTGGGACACAACAAAAGCTCAACACAGCATGCGAAGAACATGTCCCTGGCCAGGAACAATGGAAAACCTGGCCAGACTGCCCCACTCTTCATCTATGGTCGGTGTGGACTTTGGATACTCCAATAGGCAAGGAGAAACCGCAAGACCATCCCTTGAATCCAGAACCTCCTCGACCCTAAACCTCCACAACTCATATGCAACCAGATCCCACATTATCACACCATGCTATGCCGAGGTCAAGTCAAACAGAATCTCTGACTTGCCAAGATGGTGGACGCAGACCGGATATGTCGGTGGCGAGCCCAGTCGAACAGCTTCAGCTGGGCTTGTGGTGTTTGCGAGTGTTCTAAGGCAAGCTGCTGACTCACTTTGTAAAGACGAGCAAGATTCGCAGCGGACGCAGCCGTGGCCGGAGCCGAAACTTGTTTCAAGATGCAATGCAGACTCTGGAAAGGTTGACCTAGCCGTTGCTGGTCTAACATACCGGATTTCTAGGGGTTGTTGATGTTGCTCGAGATTGATTGCAGGCTGTATCGAATGCGGCAGTCAGAGCGGCGTGCAATCTGCAGGTCCAAGGCAGTTGCCGTCTGAGCCCAGCACCTCCTTCCCGAACCTTTCAAGCGAATCCTGAGGTGTGGGGACTGCAGAAGATCGTGCAAACGATGAGTTAAACCACTGCCAGAATGTTTTTTTGTCGGGATCTGGTTTGCGGCTCCTGTGTGTCGAGATTTGCCTCGTGGCCCGGTAGTCAGAGACTGCCAGGAATCCAGGATGTATTTAAGGTTCAGCTTCATGTCAATGTGGATTACGCCCGCATTGTCCGTGAATAGCCTAGCTACCTGCGCGACCTCCCCCTTTAGAAGGAAGTCCGCGCCCTGTGCTGCTCGTAGCTGCAGCTCGCAACAAGAGGGAGAAGGAGGATAAGGAGGCAAGCAGAAAGAACGCCGGTTTCAACATTTCGGTCGGGGGCTTCTGAGCAAAGCTAACAGTCAGGTTGGGTGGGTCGATTCAGGAGGCCTGGAACCGGTTTGTGAAGGGAAGGGCAGGTTCACGGTATTTTCACGGCACTTCATGGGGCACGGCACCACCGCTTGCAGTAAGCCTACCGTAACTATCGCCTTACATCACTTTTTTTCTCCTGAAATCTGGGATTCTTCGAACAAAAGCCCACATACCGAATTCGTGCATTGTGAGCTCAAAGAGCCTCCGGCTGCAGAGGCACGCCGGAAGCGTCCTCCAAACCTCAGAACAGCAGACCCTAAGGTCATGAACCCGAGACGGAGCAGAGCGCCAGCACAAACAGCTTAAAATCGTGCTGACCGCACGCAAGCCGCAAGACACGATTCTCCGCTCCCGACCGCAGGTAAAGAAAGACGAAGAGTACGAAGAAGAGGAAGAGGACGAAGACGAGGCAGAAGAAGAAATGAACGAAGCGTCTCGCTCTCCTTCAGAGCGAAGGGTGCGCCGGCTCCCCAGTGAAACACGGCGTGTGTGTTCTTTGGTTTTGTGTCTAGCGTCTAGGGGGCCTTGAAGTCAAGGTCTTGGAACCAAGCGCAAACAAAACCCCATCCTTGGGGCTTGATTACTTGAGGATGCTGGTGGCTTGGGGTTTACGATTTAGGATAACTGACATCTGGAGCTCAGTGTTGTGCAGCTCACTTCCTAGAGTTTTGGGTCTGGGTTTGTTGTTTATGGTTTAATGTAATGCTCGTTGCCGACTGAACCCTCAAAGCCTCAAGTCGAAGCAACACACAGACACAAAGCCCTAAACTCCAAAGTGCGAGCAAGCAAAGCTTCGGTCGAAGTCCTACACTTATTGTGCGCAGGCCGCGGGGATCTGGCTTTAGTTGTAGTATATGTTGTGCGAGCGTGCGGGTGAAGTGGTTTGCACAGTTTCGTGTCTCGAGTCGAAGGGTTGCCACATCAGGAACGAAAAAGAAGAAGCAGTCGAAGAAATCGAAGGCATCAAGCAGCAGCTGCCAGCGCGACAGCAGCCGGGAGCATGCAAAGAGAGCAGTAGTGGAGAAAATGCGTGCGAAGGCCTCGGGACCCTGGGGTCCTTGTGCCAGGAAGGCTCTGACTGGAATGAAGTTTTAATGGGTGTTGAGGCCGTTGATTTGAGGGTTCAAGGTTCAAAGCTGAGCCGAGCAAATTAGGATGGGTTGCTGGTGTTGACTGTCTGCGGCTCACAGGGCCTATGGGGTGTTGTTTTCACAGACACTTTATGTCCTGAGCTGAACAAATAACCAACCCTGAACCCAGGGTTGGGCTTGGGAGTTCCTGAGTTTGGAGAAGACTAGCTTTTATGATAATCATGTTACATGTTGGTATAGAAAAGACTAAGATACGATTTTATCTTGTTACAAACCAGAGCAGTGTTTGCACTTTTGTTGTTGTTCCAGTTGCTGGTAGTGTTGGAAACGCGATTGCAACTACAAGCACCGAGAACAGCACCAGCACCACTACCATCACGACTGACGACTCACGACAACAAGGGCAGGAATTGTAAATCCATCTTCAGCAGCCTAGAGCCTGCGACAGTGTGCATGTCCCTATGCAGGTATCAGGGCCCGTCCATCCCTGTTTGTGTATCCATGGCATCGCAAAAACACCTGGCCTGCAATGTAATTAAACCAAAGGGTGTGCTTGGAAGGCATCCAGCATAGTGAGGCCTCAAAAAATGCAAGTCCTATGCAGATCCAGGTGCAAAATGCCGAGCTCGAAAGGCTAAAGAAGGAGCTGGCGCAGGCACGGGCAGCTGAGGCGACTTGGGCTTGGCTTTATTTTGCATCAGTAGGCATGTATCCGGATGACCTTCGTCGTGGCCCTTTTGGCGATTGCTGCAGCATCTGAAGCATGTCCGTGAGAGCCGTGCAACACCCTGCATGGAACGTTGCAACTGAATTTTGGCATGTCTGAGGCAAAAGCGACAGCAGAGAAGGCAGGAGCGGGCGTGCGGGCTTTGCTCGGCAAGTTTGCTTGCAGCTCGGGTCATGCAATGGAACATGTTTAATACCGTCGTAGTCCATTGAGTTTTGCATTTGCTGAGCCTACCTTTCTACGAGAAACAGTCACGAGCCGCGGCTCTCAGCTCGCAGCTGGACATCAACAGCAAAAAAAGGTGATGTAAGCAGGGAGAGCACGGGTACTTCGCTGATATAAAGCTGAGTCAGTAGCATTGGTGAACCGTCTATGAGACTGGGGACTGGGCCCTGGGGCTGACAGAGTGCGAGCAGAATCCTTGTAGCTTTCCAGCCCAGCTGGGACTGTCAGCAGGCACTTAAAATAGTGGGTTGGGGTGAACCATCTCAACGAATCATTTCAACTGCTGCATCTGCTAATGAGCTGGTCATGAACCATGAGTTTCTGCTACAGAAGCTGTGAAGAATGTACTTGCGATCAGAATCGTAGTCTCAATGCGGCTCGATTGCAAACTGAGGGTGTGGTGCAGAGGGCTACTCGAGGGACTTCAAGTCCGGAAGCCTGAAATCTGAGAAGTCGTTTTTTCTTTTTTTGGAGGTTTGATACGCGAGATGCCAAGTCACTCAGGGATGTCTTGCTTCGTGGTTCTGCCAGGAAGTGGCAATATTGGCAGCACGCGTGGCCCAAGATGCCGAGGCCGTCCTGGTCGGATTTTCAATCTTGGTGTTTCGTTGTGCATCTTGCTAAGACTCGCTCTAACATCTAAGGCAACTTTGTCGGCATTTTGTAAATGTTGGGCTACAGCGACCGAGGCTGAGAGGTTTGGGCCGGCATAGGGTGCAGGACTTGTCATGGCGTCTCGACTGTTCAAAGCACTTTGTTGGGTTGCGTGCGTGTCTTTCGTGTGTGTGTGTGTGCACATTTGTTTTGTGTGCCGTCAGTCTTGGAAGCTCAACTGCAGGAGACTTCAAATCCGGAAGCCGGAAATCGAACAAGTTGTGCTTTCGAGCTTCGTTTAGAGCGTTGAGAGGCCAAGACTGCCAAAGTCCATAAGGCTGTCTTGCTTCGTGATGCAACGCCTGAGCATTGCTTCCTTTTTCTTTACCTTGACTTGCAATCTGTTTAAACTCCAATGAGCCTGAAGGACTCCGTGACATGTAAAAGCTAAACACATAGAGTTCACGTGACGGTGCTGCAGAGTCCAGTGAGGACTTGCAGGCTTTAGCTTGTGGGCTTGTTGGGAGCCTAAGTTTGGGCCGGAGGGTGACTTAAAGATTTGGGTAGTTGCTGACTTTGAGAGGCCTCGGGCGTTTGTTGTAGGCTTAACACGAATCGGTGGTCCAGTCACTTCAATGTATCGACGCTCTATAGTCTATGGTATCCAGAGCCTGCTGTAAGCCCCGCCTCCAGGAAGAAGCGCAACGGGAGAAGGCAAGTGTGCATGCGGAAGTGGGCCAGGGATTCGTGATTTCAATCGCTGCACCTGCTGATCAGCTGATCATGAACCATGAACTTGTGCTACGTAAGCTGTAATGGTAGCACGTAATGGCGATCGGAATCATAGTCTCGATTTCAGATCGACGGTCCTGGGTACGGCGCAGGTAGTTCCAACTTGCAATTTCGTTATGGTGATCACCTGAAATCCGCTGACTTTAGGGCTACTTGCTAGGACCTGGCACCACAGTCATTGTCGTTTGGGTCTTGGGGCTTCGGCCGCAGACGTGGGCCTCAAGCAAGCCATGAATCCCAGCCCCAAAACCCTCCCGAAATCGGTACGTCCACCTACAAAAAGAGTATCCTCGTACCAATCATTTTTGAAATCACTTCAGTCCTGCCATAGCTCACACAATCCTACCAAGCTCCAAAGATCATCATGAAGCTTACACTCAATGAATAAATAAGACAACACATGACCGAAAGACTCAGACTTGCTTGCAGGAGGATGCCATCCAGGCTGCCCAGGCAGCAGCTGTGGCTGAGGAGAAAGCCCGACATGATCTTGAGACCGGCCCTCAGACGAGTCTTTCTTGAGCTGCCCTGGTAATGCGCAAATAGCCCTCCTGGCAACGCCTCGAGGACGCTTGCAAAAGACACCGCGAAGGCCGGACGCGGGTGTAGTCTGGCCTGATGGATCCGGTGTTTGCCGAAATGAAAGCCTTTTGCACATCTTGTGCAGGTGATGGAGGCCGTCGGTTTCCTCGCCAGCGACACTGTCGGTAAGGCCCTATCAGTCAACCGTAGCGACGTAAGCACACGCATTGTGGCAAGAATATTGATGTTTCAAGCGGGTGCTACAAGCCCCTTGGCTCCTCGCCAGATTAGCAACGACTTGCCGGGCACTTTCATCAGGACGAAGCCGCTTGGTCGCAGCTCCGGCTCATAGTCCACATCCTAAGTTCAAAAAATTGACCTACAATGATGGGTGCGCGTCTAGGAAGGTTACGGAAAGATACGATATGCGGAGGTTCTCTGAGGTGTACGATTGTGCTTCTTCCCTGCACTGCACTCTATGGACCCGATGTCTTTGCCGAGCTCATCGCCACTCCGAATCGTCGGGGTGTGCAGTGCATTGACCTTGACATCGATTCCGGATTGAGATCTTGCCCTGCGGTGCTCAGGATTCACGCTGCTCAGCTGGGATCCTAGGGTAGTCGTCGATTGAAAAATAGCGCTAAATCCCGACTCGAAACTTCAAGCACCGAGCAGGCCCTTCCTGGTCTTGGAATCGCTAGGCTAAGACAAGGACAGACTTGGGAGGAGGAGAACTTGACACCCAGAGCTGCATATGACGAAGCCCCCAGTTCACTTCGAGCAGGAGGCTGTAGATCCGAAATCCACAACAGTCAGCCCTGCTGAAACTCTGCGCAAAAGCACTGAGGATGGAGGTGAAGACCGAGGAGTGCGAGGACTGGACCGAGGAGACATAGCCTCACAACGTGCCTTGGGCTGCTGCATCGATAGAACTGCGTTGGGGATTCAGAGCTTGAGAACAGTAGGACCATTCTATGACAGCAGGCTTGAGGTGCGAATTTCTGATTTCCTTTGCTCAGAGATCGCAGATGTGCTTGGCCAAGGCAACTCCCTCCTGGAATTGCTCGCGGGGACTCGTTCAGAGTCCCTTTGCCTGAGCCACTCGCAGTAGCTGGGAAGCCCAGGCCCCGCACCTTCGTGTCATGAACCTCTGTGCGCACAGACGAACAGATAGTTGATCCACCAATCCAATATATCTGCCAATGAAGTTGCAAACATACATATACCGTCACATACCTGCATACATCAACTGTACTGACACTCCAAGCACCAGCTGCCATTTGCAGGCTGAGCATCCATAAACCCAGAACCTCAGCCGAAAGGCGCATAGCCAACACCTCTTCTAGCCTCCCGTTTACCCTCAAGTGTGGGACTATGGGCCTTGATGACCTCAACAAGGGGCGGTAGCCAGAGCGAACGGACGCTGAAACGCCCACAACCGAAGGATCTTCCCAAAGCTTTGTTCGTTTCCCAAGCGAGTACCTTAGGGCTTTCAGATTTTCATCGTTCAAGGATCCTGGGATCTTGATTCCTTGAGATCTAGTTTTGTCTGCTTGCTACTCCAAGACTCAAAGCATTTAGCACAGGCTTCGGGGTGTAGAGCTCTGTTAAAGGTTTGTTGCAAGCCGCCTTGGATCCTCCAGGCTGTCCTTGTAGAGGGTTTTGGAGCTTTAGGGTTTTCTTCGAGGGCGGAAGATGCGAGGTCGTTCATGTAGCAGCTTTCATTTGTGCAAGTTGGACTTCATCTCGGCTATGTCTAGTCCGTTCGTGACAACATAGAACTCTTGTGCTCTCGTCGCGGGCCGAGAGTACAGCTCACCTCTGTGACAAGGGGAGATCCTTGCTGCAAAATGCTAGACTCGCTAGACCGTCATGATCTGCTGCTGTGCGCAGAGATCAAGATCTAAAGGAGGAAGTTTCACAGGGCTTGAAGGGCTCAGCAGGGCTTAGGGTAAAACTTACAAGACCCCGATAGAGTGCCCCGGAGGTACGTGGCAACACTCGTCCCATCTAGGAGCCATAGTTTCAAGAATGAAGACGATTCATTCAAAGACTTTCGGAAATCACCGCCTGCCGAAATCCTGGACTCTACAGCACTTAAGGTCAGCCAAAAGGCGACCAGCAACGCAGGGGCTTGAAGAACCACCTAGATGTGACCGAGACGGACCGTTAGAGCGGTGACAATCGAAAAACACCGTTGGACAGCCAGTCAGAACCGATGCTACATAACCGACCCGGTGTGTCTTGCACAGAATCCTAGCGCGGCTTGGGTTGCACCAGAGAGAGAGAGAGAGAGAGAGAGAGCGCGAGCGGGGGAGGGAGAGAGGGAGAGAGAGAAGGGCACAGGAGGCAACTCCTGTGCCCACAGCCCTGGCGAAAGAAAGAGAGAGAAAGAGAGAGAGAGAGAGATCCCCACTGAGAGTTCCCAGCCTGCCTCGACCAGCAGGTGCGCGTGCGCGTGCGGGGGAAGGGGGGGACGTCCCCGACCTCCAAGCCTGGTAGAGAGAGAGAGAGAGAGAGAGAGAGAGAGAGACAGAGAGAGAGACAGAGACAGAGACAGAGACAGAGACAGAGACAGAGACAGACAGAGACAGACAGAGCGCGACAGCGCGCGGGC